GGGGCGGCCACGCGGCGGGGAGGGGGAGCGGCCGCTCGCAGCTGCCCCGCGAGCACCCGCAGTTCCAGACTCCTGGCCGCGCTCCCGGGGGCCTGATGAAGCCGGAGGCACAGCCTGTCTCCTGTCCAGGCCGCGGGAGGTGGAGTGGCCCAGTGTCCCTCCTGCTCTGAGGCTCCACCTCACCCCCGGGGGTGCAGGGGGGGCATGCGGGGACAGCAGCGGGGCTCTCCCGCGCAGGGGGAAGCGCTGGCCTCCGCGCGTTTCAGTGTCAGTAAAGTTATATCCTCAGGTTAAAAAAGATTAGCAGGCAATGATCGCTGCCAAGCGACGACAAAAGACCAACTGGATAGAAACTGATGGAAAGAAACGATGCGCAAGAGGAGGAATCTGTGCGCCTGGAAAAGAGAGAAGCTCGGGACTGTCTGAAAAGATGAATTAAACGGCCAAAGCTCTGCCGAGATCAATGAGGATTATAAAGAGACCCGGGTCCTGGGGGACAGAACGGGGGTCCCGCAGGGCATGTGACTTTTAGGGATAGGGGACCCCCGAGAACCCCCCGAGTCTTCCTCTCTGAGGTCCTCAGCTTTCCCTCTGAGTGTCTTCCCATCCCAGGAGCCGCCCGTGGCCCGTGTGACCCCAGGGCTCTGAGTGAGGACTGAGGGACCCACGTGCTAGTCCTGCCAGACCCCCACACCCCGGGCCCGGCCCCGCCCCTCGGGGCCTTCACTCCCCGCTCCCGGGCTCCGGGCGTGACCGGTCACCCGCCTGGTCCGCAGCATGCGTCAGCATCAGCGGTGAGTCGGGGGGGAACAGAGAAACGTCTGTGTCCGAGCTGTGAGCCCGAGCAGACAAGACCCGGGGTCAGTCTTTTTGGGGAAACATGTTTCACGCGCTGGTGGTGTGGCCGGGCCGTGCCGCCCGGCAGCTGGCAGACGCCGCCTTTTACGTGCAGGGATTACTCCCGACCTGCGGCCGTCAGCTGGCCGGGAAGTGACAAGGCGCGGGGGGCGTGTGTGTCCAGACAGACCAGCGCAGCCCGGGCCGCCCACCCCTGCCCAGCCCTGCGCGGGCCGCCGGCCCCCTCACCAGCCCACGGGGCACTTTGCCCCTTGGCCCTGAGCTGCGCGCCCTGACCGCTCCCAGGGCCGCCCCAGCTCACCGCTCCTGCTGGGCGGCCCCCCGAGAAAGCCTGGAGGATTCGGGAGCCCTTTGACTGAGCGACCACATCTCCTTTCAGGGGAGTGCGGGTGTGAGCGTGCGGGGCCAGTGTGCGCAGAGCGCGGGCCTGGTGGCTGCGGAGCCGTGAGGATGTTTGTGCACGCGTGTGTGCATGAGTGTGGCACATGTGAGTGTTGGCGTGTGCCGTTCTGTGCGTCCATGCCTCAGGCCTGCGGATGGGGATGGTGCTGTGGGGTGGTGATGCCAGCAGTGCCAGGGCCACGGTGGTGATGACGTGAGGATGCTGGTGCTGGTGCTGGTGCGCGCGGGCCACCAGGGGGAGCACCGCCCCGACCTCAGGCCTGGGTCCAGGGAGGGTTTTCTGGGCTGCTTTGGCCTGGGAGAGGTGCTCACACTCCCCACGGAGCAGAGGGGGAGCAGGACGGGACCTGATGCCCCAGCACTGAGAAACTGTGCCCTTATCTGGGGCTGCTTCTCCAGGAAAAGCCGCGCAGGCATCCTGCTCCCCCCTCCGCCTCTGTGGGCAGGAACGCTGTGTCCAGTGGGGGGGCCTGTGTCCAGTGTGCGGGGGGCCTGCCTATGTCCGGTGGGGGGGTCTATGTCCAGTGGGGGCCCTGCCCGTGTGGCTGGAAGAGCGGGCTACAGCTGTCAGCCTCCACTCCTGCCACCGCCCCCGGCGCTTGGGTCCTCCTGAGCTCCACCTCAGAGCCTGGCCTTGGTGGCCACCCACCGCCCGCCCCAAGTGTGATGGGCTGGTGAACTGGCCACGTCTCTTTCTGGGACTTCAGAGCGCACCCGTCTGCAGAGCGGCATTTCCCCTTGAGTCCACTGGCCGGGCAGAACGTTGGCGAGGGCTGTGGCATCAGCACTCCGTCCGGCTGCCCTGCCCCGAGCCCCGCTGGGAGCACGGGCTTGGGGCCCGCAGGGCGGCCTCCCCCGGGCCGGGCTGGTGCTCCTGCGGGCCCTGCCCCTCGTGAGTGGGCAGCTCTCCAGGCCCGGCGCCCTGCAGCAGGACTCTGCGTTCCTTACAGTTTTCTCTCCACGAATTTCCATTCCCAAAGCAAGAATGTTTCACTTCGTTTTCCAGCTTCTGTGCCACCTACTGAATTTTCCAACCGTGTGGCCGAAGTGTACAGAACACGCTGATGCCGCCGAGGCACGCGGACCGTCTCCCAAACTGCGGCTGCTGGTCACCCCCCGGCCCCAGTGGCCCGTCCCTCCCGCAGATGTGCAGGCCCCGGCCGAGCTCCCCAGGCACGGCGCTCTCCATGGCCACCCGGCGGCGGCGGGAGCCCTCGTGGATGTTAAATTTGGGCGGGTGCTAAATAGTTGAAATTCTGCACGCGATCCATATTTCCACGTCCCGCTATCTGGAATTCCCATCACTCAGATGTGCGGACAGATGGCGAAGGTGTCCGTCCCGTTCGCTTTTCCTTAAAAAATGTGCCCCTTCTGCCTTTGCTATCGCGGCATCTCGGAGGGCCGCAGGCGGGGGCCCGGGCTAGGCCTAGGTGAGGCGTCCTGGCCTCCACTCTCCCTCGGGTCAGGGGGTGAGGCCCGCTGGCTCCAATACCGCCAGAGGAGGCTGCCCGGAGGAGACCCCTTCTCCTTACGCCCGAGGCTGTCAGAGGAAGGCAAAGAGCCCCCCACATGGCCCCGCTTGGCCCAGACTCCTCCCTCACTGTCCTCGGGGCCCCCGGCCCGCACCCCTCCTGACCGCTCCCTCCCACCGCCTGTCCTCCCAGCTGGCTCCGCTCCCCCACTCTGCCCAGACCTCCCCCAGACGCCCCCCTGGGCCTGCGTGTGGAGGCCCCGCCGCGGGGGCCTAGTTAGCTATTTCTCGCCGAGCTCCCCCACTGCCTGGTCACTCCTGTCCCGGGGCCGCTGCTGCCGTCCCCCACGAGGCACGGGTCCCTGAGGCCAGGCCAGGCCCGCCCTGCCTCTGTGTGTGCCCACGGACGCTCAGCACCTCACCTTTAGATCTCCCTCCTTGGCACTTGCTCCTCTCTTGAGGTCTCAATTTTTGTCAGTTTTCATTTCAGGAGCGTCCCCCAGGCATTCTTTCCTGACCGCGCCTGCCCTCCATCGGGGCATGCAAGTGCCTGGGGGGCTGACTCAGGCCCGCGTGCTCCGCACCTGACCCTTCTCTTGGCCCCGCTCTCCAGGCCCTCCCAGGCCGGCTCTTGGGTCCTGTGGTCTGTCACTCATGCGCTCCCCGCCGGCTGTGCTGGTGTGCCCCTCGTTTACATAACCACGCAATTTGGGGAGCACCACTCACCCCTCTGTGGCCTGTGCCGCATTCACCCTGCATCGTTGCTGATCACCCCAGTGCTCAGGTCTGAGCTGAGTCCCGGGACAGAGGCTGTGAAGTTGCCTGCCCTGCCAGGGCGCCCGTCTCTGCCGTGTTACCCCCACCCTCCCTTCGCCCCTCAGCCCAGAGGGGAGTGGCTCTGGCCTAGTGGGGTTGGAGGCTTTTGAGTGTGTGCTCCTCAGTGGCCGCGTGGCTCCAGCTGCTCCCCGTGAGAAGCGCCTGCTTGCTGTCACCTCCACGGCCCCTCCACAGGGAGCCCACGCGGCTCCTCCAGCCCCTCTGGCTGCAGCTGGTCTCCTCGTGACACTCCACTGAGGGTACCTGCCCCCAACCCCGGCCACCGCCTGTGCGTGCTGTGCACCCCTGACGCACCACACTTGGCGGCACGGCCTAGCGCTCTTTGGATGGACGCCCCAAGAGCCAGCGTCCTGCGCCTCCATCCCTTCTCCCGCAGCCAGCGCGCCAGACCTCCTCAGAAGACGCATCTGTTCTGATCTGCTGCCCTTGTGTGAACAGGGCTGATTTTGTGGTGAAAATGACCTCTTCATGTATTTATTAGATTGATTTATTTTGCATGCAAGAGCTGGGGTACAGGCCAGAGATGCGTGGGGGGCGGTGAGAGGATCCACCAGAGCCAGAGCGGGGAACAGAGCAGGCAGACCGACCAAATCCACCGCTGAGGGGAGCAGCCGGGAGACAGGAGGGGTCCGCCGCGCGAGGGGGCAGCTCCCTGGCTGCGGAGGCTGCGGCTAACTTGGCAGCACTGACACTTAACCCCTGCGCCACCGGGGGCCCCTCTTGATATTTAAAGCACCCCACGAGTTCTAATTGAAGGATGAAGCCGCCTGCATGACTCCCCAGGTGACTCGGGCTCCCCCGAGCACCCCTCCCCCAATCCAGACAGCTGTGGGCGCTGGGTCCCCGCCCCGCAGGTGAGCCCGCAGGTGAGCCCGCAGGTGAGCCTCCCGTCACGGGTCATCTAGCTCCGCGTCCTCCGAAACCAGCTGGGGGGCCTGGACGCGGCTGGGCAGCCCCGGGGGCGCTGGAACCGCCCCCGGCGCGGTGACTCCCCGCGGGCACCGCCTGGTCCGCGGAGGGCTCGGGCGGGCTCGCGGCCGGGCGGCAGGTCGTGTCCCCGGCGGGGGTGGGGGGGTGGGGGGGTAGGGGGGTGGGGGGGGCGCCGTCCCGGCGGCTCCGGGGCTCCTGGGGCGCACACCCCGCGGCGCCCGGGCCTGCGCCCCACGGGCCTGCCCCGCCCCCGGGCCGGCGGCCACTCCCGGCCCTCCTCGGGGCCCGCCCCCGTCCCCCGCCCGGCGTGGCGCGGGGACCCCGGCGCGAGCCGCACCCGCCGCAGCCGCCCGGGCCGGGGACTCGCGCGCGCCCGGCGGCCTGGGCCGGACCGACGCTGCGCATGCGCGGGCCGGCGCCTCCGCCTCCGCCGCCAGGGGGCGCCGCGCGGGCACGTGACCGGCCCCGTGACCAGCCGGAAGCGCCGCGCGCAGGCCGGGCCGGGCCGGGCGGCGGCGGCGCCAGGTGAGTCCGGCCGGGCCGCGGGCCGCGGCGGCGCTGGGGCGGGGCGGGCCGGGCCCCCGGGCTGGGCTCCGAGCGCCGGCGCGTCTGCAGCGGGGCCCGCGGCGGGTCGCGCGCGCCGGGGTCGCCCGCCCCTTCCGAGCCGCCCGCCGCAGGTGCGCGCCAGGTGCGCGCCAGGTGCGCGGGCCCCGGCGTCGGCGCGCACGCGGGACCCCCCTAGCCGGGGCGCGGGCCGGGTGGGCCGGCGGCGGGGCCTGCGCGGGGGGCCCGGCCGCGCGCAGCCCCTCGGGCTCCCGGGAGGGGCGGGCCCCGCTCGGCCTGCGGCGCGGCCCGGTGGGCGCTGCCCGGCGGGGAGATGCGGCGCCGCCCCTCCGCCCCGCCGGGGCCCGGGGCCGGCGGGGGACCCTCCGCCCTGCACCCCCTCGCGGAGCCCCCGCCCCGGACGCGCGGGCGCCGCAGCCCGTTTCCCTCAGAGCCGCCCCGCGCGCGAGCTGCGCCCCAGTCCCCGCCGGGGCCCCTCCCCGCGCCGCCTCGCCCGGGCAGCCCGCGGGCCAGCCGGGGCCTCTGCAGGCCGAGCCGGGCCAGATCCCGCAGGTTCCGCCGCGGAGCAGCTGCTCCCCTCGGCCGACGCGGAGGCCGGCAGGGAAGCGGGGGACGCGGTTTGGGGGAGCCGAGCTGCCGGTCCTCACCCCGGAGCCCCCGGGGCGGCTGGGCGCGAGCAGCCCCGTCCCTCCCGCCCGAGTCCTGCGCGCTGGGCCCTGCTGGCCGCGGTGGTGCCGCGGGGTCCCTCCTTCCTCACCGGGGGCCTCCTGGTCGCCCCCCCTCCGTTCTTCCTCAAGTGTGGGGCCCCGGCCGCGCACTCGGGGCCGTGACCGCCCGCGGCTTCTGTGCTGGCCCGAAGCCGGCCCTGCCCGGACAGAGCGGTGACGTCCCTTCCCCTTTGCCCACCCCAGAGGCGCGTGACCCGCGCCAGCCGGGCCGGCTCTGTTCCCAGGAGGCCCAGGCCCGGGACGTGCCCCCCACCACGGGCCTGGCCTCGCTGAGCACGCGGCCTGCTCTGCCTCGTGGCCGCTGGCCGGGAAGGGCGGGAACAGGGCGGCTGAACCCCTCTCCTGCCCCCCTCTGTGTTCCCCCGAGAGAACACAGCCTGGCGCCTCGCCTGGGGCCCTACCTCGCGGGCAGCCTCCCGCGCAGGCCTGCAGCGGTCTGCGTGGCCCTGGCTGCTCGCGAGGCTGGCGCAGCGTTTCCCGGGTGGTGGCGGGAGTGTGGGCCCCGTCTCCCTGGCGGTCATCACGGCGCCGCCGCAGCGAGGGCCCCGTCCCGGACCCGTCAGCTCCATCTCCTCTGTCCGACACGAGCACCCTCCTGGGTGGCGGCCAGCCTGGCAGCAGCTGCTCCGCCGCCACCTCGGCCGGCTGGTGCGGTTCCTAGGGAGGATTTCAGGGACAGGGATTGCGCTGAGGGCGCGAGCGAGGTCGCTGGCCCGGCCCCTGTGTGCCGGATCTGACCCACTCCTGGGCAGCCTGGGGCTCCGTGCCCCGCCGGAGAGGGAAGTGGGTGGGCGCTTGTGGTTGGCCCGTCAACTCTGGGGCTGTGATTGTGGGTGGAATGTGGGCGCGTCGCCTGCCCCTCCCCCTGCCCGATCCCTGACGTCCCACTCAGTGGGTTTGGGGCAGCCCCTCGGGTTCTGGGGAGCCCCTCCACTGTCACGAATTCTAGAGCCAAACCACGTGGGCACCCCATCCTTTGTGGGCCAGCGCCCCTCGCCGTGTGTCGTCGGATCCCCAGCGACAGGGCTTGTGTGCAGTGGAGCCCCACCCCCTGCGTTCCGTGCACCTCATTGTTCCAGAACAAAGCTGGCGCCTCTGTTTACACATCCAACAACCCCTGAATCTGGTAGGAGGTGAGGCCTGGGCTGTGGCCGTCCTGGGACTTGTTTTGGTGCTGTGTTCCGTCCTCGCGCTGTAATCAGGATCTCCCGGGAACGTGGTGGAAAATAAAAAGCTCAGGTCCTATCAGCCTGGACCCGATTCTGTTTGGATTTTTTTAGCAGCTTCATTGAGCTGCCACTCGTGTCACGTAGCTCGTGCCCACACGCAGGCGGCTCGGGGGCGGTCAGCGCGCTGGCTGCGCATTCTAGAACATTTCCGTCCCCCCAGCAGAACCCGTGGCCTGCAGCTGTCCCCTGCCACCACCCCAACCGGCAGCGCGGATGGCTGTGCGTGCGGGCGTCCCCCCAGTGCCTTGCTGCCAGCGGAGCAGCGCGTGGCCTGGGGCGGGCCTCCCGAGCAGGACCTCTGAGATGGGCCGTGTGCGCGCATGCCAGCCCGTGGCTGCCGGCTGTGGAGGACCCCTCCAGGCCCGCTCCCCGGCCCGCCCAGCGCCGGCCCCCACCGGGGTGGAGCCGCGGGCAGCACCGTGACTGGAGCCTTTTGAGGGCCCCCGCAGCATGCCCACTGCACGCCTGGCCCCGCTTCCCCAGCCGTCCTCTGGCGTGGCCTCGGCTGTGTCCAGCTCCCAGCCGCCGACACCAGGTGCTGACCGGCCGGGCCTGTCCTTGGCCAGCGGGCCACTCGGGCGCTTTGCAGTGCCGCCCTGCTCGAGGCCAGGCTGGGAGCCAAGCTGGGCGTCCTGGGGGCTCCCGTACTCATGCCGAGCCGCCGCGACTTCTCCTCTGGCTTCCGCTCTTGTCGCTCCAGTCGGGCCGTTGTCCCCGTTTTCACTCCTACGATGGCTCTTCCATCCAGGCCGCCTCCTGTCTCTGTGGTGCAGGCTCTGGACGGGGCGAGGGGGTCAGGCCCGCCCGTCCCCTGCTTGCGGGGACGCATCCCTGCTGGCCTGCGGAGCCTGGACCGGACCACCATCCCGCGGGTCTGCTTTCGGGCTGGCACCGCCTCGCCTCTGCCATGGCAGCTTGGTGCTGAGCTCGGAGGCTGGGCAGGCTGGGGCGTCTGCGCCTTTGCTCTTTCGCGAAGCTGTTTGGCCTGATTCCACGGGGACTGTGAGCCGCCCGTCAGCTCCTGCCGAGAGACACCGCCCCGGGCCCTGCCCTCAGCCTGGGGTCTCCGGCCCACGAACGCGGGCGTCTTCTCGTTCACGCCCTGTCGGGCCTGGGTTTGTGCGCCGTCTCGCTCCTCCCCGGCCGGCGTGCTGCGCCCTCGCGGCTGTCCCTGCGGAGCAGCTTCTCGGTCCGAGGGCCTTCGCGAGCACGTGCCGCTCCGCCCGTCTTCGTACGCTGCGACTTTGCCAAACGCGTCACTTCGCGTGGTTCTCAGCGGGTCGGTTTTATGTGTCGGCAAGTCACTCCCAAAGCGACGCTCAGCCCTTGGAGAGGAAGCTGCGTCGGCCCTGCCTCCCGCTCCCGCCCGTGCCGCGGGGTGCCCGGAGCCCGCGCGTGTGACGGGCCCTTCCCCTCCTCCACGGCTGCGGGGCGCTGTCAGCACGCTCGCCGCGGTCATCTGGGTGTTCCGGAGGGAGGCTGCACCCCATGGCGCGCTGCCCACTCCGGGAAGGACTTGGACCTGCTGGCACCAACCTGCCCACCCGCGTCCCGCTGGCCCCGCCGGCCAGTCTCACCCCGGGACGGCTTCCATGACTGGGGCACGTGCCCGAGTCGCCGCTTCTTGGTGACTCCAGCGCCCTTGGTTACTGAATTCCGTCCCCCCGACCAGTGCTGAACCCAGGGACGCCCCCGTCACCCCTTCCTTTACGGAGTGGCCTGGGCAGGCAGGCTAGGGAAGCCTGCACTACTGTCCACTCCCAGGGCCCTCCTGCTGCCCTCTCCCCCAGCGCCTCTCCCCTGCTGCCCTCTCCCCCGGCGCCTCTCTCCTGCTGCCCTCTCCCCCGGCGCCTCTCCCCTGCTGCCCTCTCCCCCGGCGCCTCTCTCCTGCTGCCCTCGCCCTGGGGGCCCTGTCCCCTGGCGAGTGCCGAGCTCCTCACGTCGGAACTCTCTGGGCTCCTTATCAGCACCGCCCGGAGCGCGTTGTTCTTTTCTTTCCAGCGACACAGGGCGCAGGCCACACCCCACATCCTGCAGTCCTGTTTGTTCTGCGATCTAGCGATAGCAGCCCCTCCCCAGCCGTCTCCCTTGAGTGTCTTGCTCTGGGTAACGTCGCTTTCCGTGCACGAGGCAGTGGGCGTCTGCAGTGCTGGGTTCCTGCTCCAGTGGGCTCCCGGGGCCAGGGTCACGCGGGCTTCACCGCAGGCCTCTCCCAGGTGCCTCTGGGCCGTGGGGGAGCCTGGGAACGAGCACGCGTGCATCAATGATGAACACAGGCAGTTCTGGGCCCGAGGGCCCGGGGTTGCTGGGGTGTTTCGGGTCCCCCCCCCCCCGCCGCCCTGCCCGCACTTGGCCTCTGCGTGGCTAGAGAGGGCTGCCTCCGTGGCGCTGGGGTGGGGTGGCCCGGGACCCACGGAACTGCAGCCAGGGCTCCCTTGACCCTCTGAAGATGCCCCCGAGCCCCTGGCTCCAGCTGACCTCGTGGCCCCCTCCTGCCCACGACGGGTGCCCCCTTTGTCGCTCGGCCACTGTGGGGGCAGGAGGCAGCCCCTGTCAGCCCCCAAGCCCATCCCCTTGAGAGCACACGGGGTCCCTCCACGAGAAGCGAGGCCGCCCTGCCCCTCAGGTGCCGGATGCGGCTGTTCCCAGAGCCCGGGCGGCCCGCGGTGCTCACGCCGTGCCCTTCCCCGCAGGTTCTTGAGGGGGGACAGTGACGCTCGTGGATGCCGCTGCCCCTGCCCACCGCTGCCCGTGCACCCCGAGTCTGGCCGAGCGGCAGAGGCCCCCTGCCGCCCCCCTCCTGGCGTGGAGGGCGCCTCCCCTGTGCACCGGCCCCACATGGCTCTTAGCCACAGGCTGCGGGGTTCTGGAGGCCTTGGCGACACCCCGCAACGCTGCTCCTCAAGCGCGTGAGGAGTGTGGCCCGTGTCCAGCCCGGCCCACGCCCTGGGCTCTTCTCAGCCGCACGGCAGGCGCCACCTGACTCGCGAGACAGCACGCGCGCGTGAAGGCGAAAAGGAAGGAGGTGGGCAGGGGACACAGCCCCCCCGGCCCCAGGAGGGCCCTCCGTCAGGCTGTGGGGCCGCCGCTGACCTCCAAGGTGAGGCCTGGGCCAGGGTCACGCAGCACAGCCCACGTGGCTCGGAGCTGCGGGGACCTTGGAGGAGCGGCTGACCCCGGAGTGATGCAGGGGGCAGTGAGTGCGGGCGAGCTCTTGCCCAGAGCCCAGGAAGTGGCCGAGGGAGAGACACCGAGCCCCGGCCTGCAGAGCGGGGGGCGGGGGGAGCCCTGGGGCCCCGGCCCAGCCCCACGTGGTCACCTCTGCTCTAGCAGGTGTGTGTGGCCAAGATGGGGCCCGCCTGCCCCCGCCCTTTGTCCCCTCCCACCTCTTTGCTGCCGGCACCTCCTTCCTCCGCCGCAGTGTGGCCGGGCCGCCGCGGCGACATGGCCTCCTCTGCTCCCGAGCCCACCCCCAGCGAGCCCAGCCCCGGCGGGGAGCTGCCGGCCCCGGCCCCCGGAGGTGTCAGCGCTGCCCCTCACCCGCAGGCCGCCATGTCCACGCAGCGACTGCGCAGCGAGGGCTACCACGACTACAGCTCCACCGAGGTCAGCCCCGAGGATAGCCCGTCCGAGGGCCTGAGCAGCGTGTCCTCCCCCGGCTCCTACCAGCGCCTCGGGGAGCGGAACACCACCACGTGAGCACCCACGGCCTCCCCACCCCACCCCGCGGGTCGGGAAGCTGTTCCCCCTGCACCGGGCCAGAGGAGGCCGCCTCGAGGGGCAGCCGGCTCCAGGCTGGCAGGGGCGAGAGGCCTGGGTGGCAGGCGGAGGAGAGGCGCTGTGCGCCCACCCAAGGGGCTGCCCCCTCACTCACCTGGGCTGGCCTAACTCTGCCTTGGGTCCCCCAAATGTGGGGAGGCGGGGGATCCCCACAAAGCTGGGCTGACTGGGGCCATCAGCATGGGTGGCTGCCTGGCATCCTGCCCCATGACCTCGGCAGAGCCCTGGGGCGCCCTCTGAGTTGGCCTCCTGGCCTCGCAGCTCTGCCCGGCCCCCGCTCAGCCCGCCCCTTCCGGGTGCCCCGGGCTGCACGTCCGAGGCATGGCCATGCATTTCGCTGGCCCCGGGCGCCCCGCGGGCTTGTGGCCCCGTCACTGCCGTCTGCCCTTCCTTCTGCAGATGGTTCCAGACCCTGATCCACCTGCTGAAAGGCAACATTGGCACCGGCCTCCTGGGGCTGCCCATGGCGGTGAAGAACGCGGGCATCCTGGTGAGGCGCCGCTGCTCCCTGCACACAGCCTGCTGCAGTGGGGAGCTTGTCTCCTCAAGTTGAGCTGAGGACAAGCAGAGTGCAGTGTCCACCCACCCAGCGCCTCTGGCCGGCTCGCTCCCCTGGGCGCCTGCGACCCCTGCCCAGCCCTGCTTCCCCTTGAGCCGGTCTTCCCTGGGGTCACCCCTCCCCAGGGTGGTGCCGGAGCCAGGCCCACCCCTCCTCACACTGTCCCTGCTCCCCAGATGGGTCCCCTCAGCCTACTGGTCATCGGCATCGTGGCGGTGCACTGCATGGGCCTCCTGGTCAAGTGTGCCCACCACTTGTGCCACAGGTGAGGCCCTGGTGCTGACCGGGGGGGGGGGGCCCGGGGGGCCTCAGGGGACTCCTGTCTGGTGCTGAGGGCCCTGGTCACCTTCGCGTGGGTGCGTGACTCTCTCCCCATGGGGGACACCCTGATGTCACCACACGCTGTCCTGGGGGCCCAGGACAGGGCCTGACCCTGTCTCGCCTTCGCCTCCCCCCTCCAGGCTGAACAAGCCCTTCCTGGACTACGGGGACACGGTGAAGCATGGCCTGGAGGCCACTCCCAGCGCCTGGCTGCGCAGCCACGCGCACTGGGGAAGGTGCTGCCCGCCCGCTTCCCTGCACCGTGGGGGGCTGTGCGGCCCCAGGCTGGGCCCTGCGCGCTCTGAGGAGGCCCCGGGAGACCCCAGACAGCGCCCCTCAGCCGCCCCTATGCAGGGGCGCCCCCCAGCCTACCCTCTACAGGTCCCCCAACCCCAACCCTGCTGGGAGCTTGTGGTGTGGACACGCCTGGACCTGGGGGGACTTGGGGCACACACTGTCCCACCCCCTTCTTGTGGGCGGGCGGCGCCTCCAGCTGTCTCTGGGCCCCTCACGGGGGCCTCCCTCCCACCTGCAGGCGTGGCGTGGACTTCTTTCTGGTCGTCACGCAGCTGGGCTTCTGCTGCGTCTACTTCGTCTTCCTGGCTGACAACCTGAAGCAGGTGGGCCAGCAGGAGGTGGCCCCGGCCGCGCCTGTCCGTCTCTAGTGCCCACCCGGCCCAGGGCCTGCTGGCTGTGGCGGGGCTTGGCCAGGCGCCCCGCCCCAGCCTGGGCCGGCGTGCCTGCGCTGGCCTGGCCGCTGCAGCTCTTCTGCTCTCCTTGCCCTGGTTCCAGGTGGTCGAGTCGGCCAACGGCACCACCAGCAACTGCCAGGCCAACGCCACGGTGGTCCTCACCCCCACCATGGACTCGCGGCTCTACATGCTGGCCTTCCTGCCCTTCCTGATACTGCTCGTCTTCATCCGAAACCTGCGCGTACTGTCTGTCTTCTCCTTGCTGGCCAACGCCAGCATGCTGGTCAGCCTGGTGGGCATCTACCAGTTCATCGTGCAGGTGAGCCCGCTGCCCGCACAGTCCCCACGGCCAATGCGCCAGGGTCTCTCTCCAGGCCTACGCCTGTGTCTAGTCATGGGGGTGCTCAGCCCACCGGCTGGCTTGGGGCAGTGGCCGTGGGCCTGGCGCAGTGCCCACCTCTCCAGGGCATCCAAGCCCCGTGCCCCACATAGCCCATTTCAGAGCTAGCCGAGGCCCCTCCTGGCATCTCCCTGGGTGCGGGCTGCTGGGGCTCTGGCGGCGGTGTCCTTAAGTGTGCTCGCCCGTGTGCAGGGAGCCGCGGCGTGGGGTGAGCCCATTTGAAGCCAGGCCGTGACGGGGCAGGTGTGACCTGGGCGACACCCCTGTGGTCCTGGATCTCTCAGAGCCAGCCCGGTGGCCACGCCCTGGTGCTTGCTCCCCTCCCGCCCTGCCGGGAGGTGTCGAAGCTGCTTCTGCTTGGGTCTAGGAGCACACCCTGTGTTTCCCAAGCCCGGTCCGCAGGGTCCGCAGCTTGCTCGTGTGTGTGGCACTGCCCGGCCAGGGAGCGGGGGGGACACCCACACCTGCTGCCCCAGATGGCACGCAGTGGCCGGCCTGACCTGTTGCTGCGCGGCCTTGGTGGCAGGAAGGTCTCAGTGGAAAACAAGCTGAGTGTAAAGGCAGAGACAGGCCTGGGCTTGGAGGGAAGGAGGCCAGAGAGCGAGGGGAGCTGCAGCGCTGGTGCCATCGCGTGTGGCCGCCGCTCCCCATGGTCGGTCCTCGGCCTGACCGTCGGCTGCCCCCTCCCGGAGCACATGGCATGCTCTGGAGATGCTGAGCTCCGTGGCCTCAGTGCAGCAACTTTGCCACGTGCACTGCGTTGGGTGTGGCCCCTGGAGGGGCACCGTGGGGGCGCCAGTGGGGGCTAGCAAGGCTCCGGGCAGGCTGCCTGTGGAGGGGCGGCCCTGGAGAACCGGGTGGGGAGCACACGTGGCCTCTCCAAGTGGGCTCCAGCCCGGTCTGCGCTCTCCCTCCCAGCGGCTCCCAGACCCCAGCAACCTGCCCCTGGTAGCCTCCTGGAAGACCTACCCCCTGTTCTTCGGCACGGCTATCTTTGCCTTCGAAGGCATCGGCGTGGTGAGTGTGGGGTGGCTGAGCGCACCCGGCGTCCCCCAGTCCATGCGAGGGCCTGACTGCCCCGTGCCCTCTGGGGCCCGGTGCCGGGGAGCCTGTGCACCCTTGGGACACGTCCTCGCGTCCTGCCCACTGTCCTTGGTGGTGCTGTGTGTAGGCCAGGGCTGGGCGGGTGGAGGCTGGGAGCCGCCCCACAGCCGGACGTGGGAGCACAGGGGCACTCTGGGCTCCCGACAGTGCGTCTCCGGCTCACTGCTAGACCTGACCACCAGTGGGCCCCGTGGCCACTGCATGCCTTCCTTGTGGTCAGCCCCTCACCAACCTCCCGCACCCTGTGCTTCCCCGAGGAGTCCGGGTTGGGGCGGCTGCGCTGGGCAGCAGGTGGGGTCCCAGTCTCTGTGGGTTTTGTGGTACCGGTCCCAATGTCTCTGTGGGAGGTGTGGAGGGACACCTGAGGGAGCCCGTGTCCCATCACCTTGGTCGCTGCAGGGTGGTGGTGGGCTGGGCTGCCACTGCCCTCGCATGGGGCTTGGACACGAGGGATGGCTGCCTTGTCGGGGGTCTGGTCCGGAGACTGGCCCTGCCGGTCCCGCCTGGGCAGCGGAGTGCGCTGCCCCAGCTGTGGCGTCGGGGCCGCAGGTAGGCTTTGTCTCTGCTGGGATGCTCAGCGCCCTGGCCCCCTCCAGCACCCCAGGACATGGCCTGGGCCTCTGGCTCTCCGCCGGCTGGGGGAGGGCAGGCTGCTGAGTGGCTGGCTGAGCCTGGGGGGCGGGCTCCCGCCCCACGCAGCTCCCGGCGCGACCCCCGGGCCTGCCCCGGCCCCACGCAGGGCGCCTGTGGAGCGTGGGCTGGCGGAAGGCGCGTGTCCGGCCGGTGCTCGGTCATCTTCCCGTGCGGCTCCTCTCGCCCAGGTCCTGCCCCTTGAGAACAAGATGAAGGACCCCACGAAGTTCCCCCTGCTGCTCTACGTGGGCATGGCCATCGTCACGTCGCTGTACATCAGCCTGGGCTCCCTGGGCTACCTGCAGTTCGGCGCCGCGGTCCAGGGCAGCATCACCCTCAACCTGCCCAACTGCTGGTGCGTGGGCGTGGGCGGGGCGGGGCCTGGGCGCGTGGGCGGGGCCGGGCGGGGCCTGGGTGCGTGGGCGGGGCCTCGCGCGTGGACAGGGTGGGGCTGCTGGCGGGGCGTGGGCGGGGCCTCATCTGTAGAGGGGGCGGGGCCTGGGTGCGTGGGCGGGGCCTCGCGTGGACAGGGTGGGGCTGCTGGCGGGGCGTGGGCGGGGCCTCATCTGTAGAGGGGGCGGGGCCTGGGTGCGTGGGCGGGGCCTCGCGTGGACAGGGTGGGGCTGCTGGCGGGGCGTGGGCGGGGCCTCATCTGTAGAGGGGGCGGGGCCTGGGTGCGTGGGCGGGGCCTCGCGTGGACAGGGTGGGGCTGCTGGCGGGGCGTGGGCGGGGGTGCGCTCACGGCCCCCCCCCCCCGCCCCCCCGCAGGCTGTACCAGGCGGTGAAGCTGCTCTACTCGGCCGGCATCTTCTTCACCTACGCGCTGCAGTTCTACGTGCCGGCGCAGCTGCTCGTGCCGGCCTTCACGGCGCGCGCGCCCGGGCGCTGCGAGCTGGCGGTGGACCTGCTGGTGCGCGCCGCGCTGGTCTGCCTCACGTGTGAGTGGGCGCGGCCGGGCGCGGGGGCCGGGGCGCGGGGGAGCCGAGGCGCGGGGGTGCGGGGGTCCGGGGCGCGGCGTCCGGGGCGCGGGGGAGCTGAGGCGCGGGGGGGCCGGGGCGCGGGGGGCCGGGGCGCGGGGGGGCCGAGGCGCGGGGGTGCTGGGGACGGGGCGCGGGGGGCCGGGGCGCGGGGGAGCCGAGGCGCGGGGGCGCGGGGGGCCGGGGCGCGGGGGGGCCGAGGCGCGGGGGTGCGGGGGACCGGGGCGCGGGGGGGCCGAGGCGCGGGGGCGCGGGACGCGGGGGAGCGGGACGCGGGGGAGCCAGGTCCTCGGCGTCCCGCGCCGGCGCCCTGCGGCGCGCACCGGTGTCCAGCGCGGCGCCTGGACGTGGCGAGGCGCGAGCCGCAGCCTCCCCGCCCGCTCGCGAGCCCCGCGCTGGGCCCGGCCTGGGCTGGCCGTAGCGCGGCCCGCGCGGCGCACGCAGCGTCCAGGCCCCGGCCCGAGCCGCGATGCCCGCGGGGGTGCGCGTGGCCGCTCGGGATGGCCGCGGGCGCGGGCCCGGGCGGGGCTCCGGGGGGCCCTCCTGGGGTCCGCTGGCCGCGGCGCCCCCCGACCCCCGGCGCCCGTGGCCGCGCTGGTCTCCCGCGGGCCGGCGGCTCTGCGGGGCCTCGGGCGCTCGCCCGGCCCGGCGGGGGTGTGGGCGCCCTGCGGCCGCGGGGGCGGGCTCCAGCGGCGGGGGCGGGGCGGGGGCGCCTCGAGCCTGGCCCCGCGTTCTCTCGTCTGCGGGGACAGGAGCCCGCGTGGACGCAGCCAGGGCGGAGGCCCGCGCCGCCCCCGCGCCGCCGCGGCCTGGGGCCCGGCCAGAGCCGTCTGGCGCCTTTGCCTGGGAGGATGGACGTCCACGGCCGGGGGCCGAGAGCCGGTCCCCCTCTCGGCCGCCGCACCGAGCGCTCTGGGCCCAGCCCCCGCCCCCTGAGCCCCGGTCCTCTCCCACAGGCGTCCTGGCCGTGCTCATCCCCCGCCTGGACCTGGTCATCTCCCTGGTGGGCTCCGTGAGCAGCAGCGCCCTGGCCCTCATCATCCCGCCCCTGCTGGAGATCGCCACCTACTACTCCGAGGGCCTGAGCCCGCTGGTCATCGCCAAGGACGCCCTGATCAGCGTGCTGGGCTTCCTGGGCTTTGTGGGGGGCACTTATCAGGCCTTGTACGAGCTGGCCGTGCCGGCCAGCACCCCCGCCCATGTCAGCCCCACCAGTGCCTTCGCGTAGAGGCCAGGCGCCGTCCTCACATTCCCACATTGCCGCAGAGCCCCGCAGGTTCTGGCTCTGGGACAGGCAGGGCTGCTGCCGGCGGCCAGGAGAGGCAGACCAGCCTGTGCTCCGACCCTGAGCCACCCCAGAACTTGCAGCTCTGCCCCCTGGACCGCCAGCCTCCTGCTGCGCAGCTCAGGTCCGCATTTCAGCTCCCTCTTCTCATTCCAGCTGGGCCTGGATTAAATCAGTGGGAGCCCCCCTCCCCCCCAGGAGCCCGGCCTCTTTCTCCTCCCCGTACCTGTCGACCCTGTCTCCCTTGCTCAGTGGAACCTCCAGGGGCCCCTGGACCTGTGTGTTGGTGGTCAGCCGGCCCCAGCTGATCTCAGCCCTGGCCTGGGTACCCCCACCTCCGGGCCAGGCCACCTGTTAGTGGCCGTGGCTTCTGAACCACATCAGTGCTGCCACGTTAAAATATTTAAATGTATTTAAAACGTAGCTTTGTTTCCAGACTCTAAACCCGGATCTCGAGTGCCCTCTCTCCCTCAGTGACCCCTGCTCCAGTACGGCCCCGTGGGCCACACATAGCAGGGGACAGGCTGGCTGAGGCGCCCACGCACAGTTGCACGTAGCTCCTGGCTGGATTCAGCACTGCGGGACCCTCAGGCGTCTCGTTTCGTTCTCCAAGCCTGTCTGCTCTGGGGTCCTCCCCACGGGGCATTCTCCACCATCTTCAAGAGCTTCCTGAACCCCAGGCTTCTGTACCCACCCTCTTGGCGCCCCACGCCCCTTCCCCATGCCCCTGGCCCTCCATGGACGCCCCACGCGCTCCCCTCTCCACCAAGCGTGGCCCCGCGGACGGCAGGTCCAGCCAAGCTGTGGGCGGCCTCTTGAGCCTGGCCTCCGCGCAGGAGTGTTCTTGGAGGCTCCTCCAAGTTGCGGAATCTCATCCTTTCTTGCCGATGAGTGCAGTTCACGGCCTGCATGCCCCAGAGCTGCTAGCCCTCACCAGGCCCCAGAGATGGCGCTGCTGCGTGGACAAGCATGTGTGCCCCTGTGCGTAGTGTTCATGCCCTGGGCATTGCCCACAGGTGCAGTTGCTGGACTGTGGGAAAGCCCCTTCACCTGGCGTCAAGGGTTCTCCCAACCCCCCCCCCCAGGGTGGCTGGTCACGCCCAAGCGCTGGGGAGCGGGGGTGGGCGTCGCCCTCCTTGGTCATGGGCCCACATGTCCCTCGGCAGGGTGTGCAGCTGGCCCAGCGCTGGCCTTTGGTGGCGGCCTTTGCGCTTGCTCTCAGGTCCTGTGGGCTTTGCTTTGATTTCTTGGGGTTTTCTTCGGAGACAGCCACGTCGCAAGCAAATAAGCGGCATCTCTTCGAGCCCGTGCACTTGCCGCAGCACCCAGAACTGCCTCTGGGTGGCGGAGGCGCCCACCTGACCGTCCACGGGCGCCTCCCTGCTGCTGCGTGGGGGCTCGTGGGGCGTTGAGCTTTCCCTGTGGCGTCTTTGCTCTTCGGCTCTTCTTTTCCACTTGATCCTGTGAGTGGTGTTGATTTTTGTCACATTCTGAGCCGGCCTCACTCCCGGTGGGTCCTGCTGGCAGGCGGGTGGTCCCTGCCCCACCCCCTTGGACTAATGCGAAAAAACACATTATTGAGCAAGTGGATACAGTCAAGACCCCACCAGAGGGTCTTTCCAGCCCAGGTGCAGTTAACATCCCAAAGCAGGGTAATTACAAGCTTGCTCACTTACAGGTCTTTCCTTGGGAGATTTGGGGCCTCGTCCTGGCCCGCTTGTCTAGACAGTTACTTCCAAAGAGTCAGATGAAGTCCAGGAGGCCTGTCTCTTCAGGGTACCCTCAGATGGCTGCATCCCCTTCCGTGGGGAGCAGCTTTGCTCCCCACCAAGGTTTTGCCTATTGTAAACAATGTCTCCAACATCTCTCCCTCTTGCTTTTTATTTTTTAAATTTTTTTTTAAAGATTTATTTATGCATACAAGAAATGGGGTACAGGCCAGAGGTGTGGAGGGTGAGAGGACTCACCAGAGACAGCGGGGAACAGAACAGGCAGACTGACTGAAATGCACTGCTGAAAGGAGCAGTGGGCGAGTCAGGAGAGGTCTGCTGCGCCATGTGGGTGGCTCCCTGGCCAGGGAACGAACTTGTGCTGCAGAGGCTGCAGTTAGCTTTATAGGTTGCGTCTTAACCCCTTGCTCCACCAGGGAGGCCTAACGATTTCTTGCCGTAGGCAGCATAGGGCTTTTAGACTGACAAGAAAAAAGTAGCAGAAACATTAAGCTTATACCAAACAAAATCCAAACTCCAACGTTGAGGCCTGACAACCAGTTTTGTTGGATTTAGCCAATAGGCGATACTGTTTAAATGTTCCGTTGTGGCATTTCGTGCTTCTTGTCGTAATTGTGCCACTTGTTGCTCTAGTTTGTCTCTACGGTCGCTGACATGGACCCGGGTTACTGAGGAGCGCACTGAGAAGTTGTCTTTGCACCTCTGCCCAGGAGGGCTGTACGGGAGGAACAGAGTTACAGAGTGCCGCGCCTGTGCTGTCCACAGGGCCTGCCTGGCGATGTCCAGCAAGGCAGTAGGTTACAGGGCAACCCCGATATGAAACGGGTTGCCTGACTCGGGTCTTCACCACGCGCTTAAAAGGGACTTACTAATGCTCAAGTGCAGGCACACGCAAAAGGTTAATAAAAGGCTTATTTACAAAAGAAGGGGAAATGAGGAAATGAATAACAGGGAGAAAGAGGGAGATAAATTGGGGACTGCGTCCTACCTGCTCCGCCGACCTGGAATCCAGTGGCCCGCGAGCTGGCGAAGAGCCGAGAGTCGTGAGGCCAAGAGAGAGCCGCCCCCGCCACATGGCTGGTTTTATACCCAACCTGGCAGCTTAACCCCACGCTCAGGTCCCAGCTCCCTCCCTCTGGTGGTGATGGGATTTGTAGTTCCCAGCGTCTTGGCGGCTTTGGTCTGGAGTGGGGGTGGCAGCCACAAACCTGTATGGAGTTTGCTCAGGACAGCTTTTCCCCCTAACGATTCCCGCCCTTCACTTTTTGCCACCTGTAGTGGGTGGATGGGACCGAGCTGCTTGCTTTATGATTCGAGCAAACGGGTAAAGGAGAGTCCTGGAGCCCTCGGCATTTCAGGTTGTTACTGAGCTTTTACACGTGCAGCAACCAGGCACACGGCAGGCAGGGGTGTGGGGGGGGGGGGGCTGGGAGGCCTCCAAGCCCCCAGCAAGTCTTCACTCTGGGCTCCCTGGCCTGCTTTCTCCCCTTCTCTCTCCTGCCTCTTCTCCTGCCTCTGCTTCCCTCCGTGAGTGTCTCAGCACTGCAGTCAGGCCCCCAGAAGTAAACAGCACAGCTTAGAACAGTAGCAAATGCAGGCGCCCTCAGGAGGGCAATCCCCACCGCGGCAGGGCAGAGAAGCCTGAGAATCACTTACCTTACAGGTCCAATTCGAAAGCAAACCCGTCTCTCCAGATACTGTCCATTGTGGACAACAAAAGTCCTCCGTTCCCGGAAAACAGTTCATCAGTCCAAGCCAAAAGGAGAAAACCATCTGGAGGGATCACCAAAACAAGACAGCAAATACACCAAGTCACAGGAAGAAAAAAATCTTAAAATTGGTTCAACTTATTTAAAAAGGAGTTCTCTCCACCTTGGTCCCAGTTTGTTCAACAGCATGTGAAAAGTTTGCAAACTAAACCTACTGACGAACCTTATTACCTGTCTTTGCATGGAATCCCAGGGCAGAAGGCCTAAGCAGCAATTTTAGCAGCTTTGTCGGGACACGCCGTACAGGGTCAGAGCGAACTCTTGACATCTGTCCCCGAAGGCCTCAAGGACAGAGCTGGTCTCAGACTCCGCCTGGGTTTCCTCTTCTCGAGGGTCCCGGGGCTTTTTCGTTTTCCGGGTCGTCCAGTCCTGCCCGTGGAGGCGGCTTCCCCGCCCCCCTTGAGGGTCTCTGGCGCCTGCGGACAGAGCAGGCGGGGCTCCTCCCCTTGGGCCACTCTTGCAGCTTCCTGGAGGGTCCGCTCACCACACAGTGACGCTCAGGGCCAACAGTTTTTTGTTTTAAGCAGACAGAATACCTGTGGAAGTGACGCGAAAATAGACACTGACATGAGTAGTACAAATGACCACCACTGTTTTCATGCTGTGCTGGTATCAAGGGGAGAGAAAAGGCAAACACAAGTTAGCTCTGCAGCCTTGCTGCCGCCCTGGTCAGTCAAAACAAAACTTTCTTTGAATTGAAAAAAAATGCAAAAAATGACCAGTATTATGTCAAACAAAACTTAGTGAAAATCGGGTGCGACAGTCGACACGTCCGCGAGCAGGAGGCTGTGCTGGAGGGGGCTTGCTCCTGCCGCCTGCCTGTCATCCCAGTGACAGGACGGTCTCTGCTCACGTTACTCAATGTAGAATTCGAAACCGAGTATGTCGCCCCAGTGTCCGCCAAGACATCAATCAGACGGTCCCCCACAGTGAGTGTTCCCCGGGGGGCTCCGAGGGGGTTATTCTAATGGGCTTCTTTAGACCTAGGAGCCCCCCGGGCACCCCTATTCATCAGAACCTCCTCTGTGTACTGTCATTCGTCTCCTCTGTACCCTGCCCGTCTTCCCTCCTGTCCTCACCTGAGCCTCTGCTCGGGGCTGCCACGTGTCCTTTCCCCTCCTCGGGTCCGGGTCCTGTGTCCGTCTGTATTCCGTGCAGTGGCCCCTGTGTGCATCGTCACGTTGTGGTGTCCTTGGCCTTCTGTCCTGTCGTCTGTCATTGTGTCTGCTGCTCCCCTGCAATCTGGGACAGCTGGGCTTCCACCGTCCCTCTCCCCTGCAGTAAGCGACTGACTCCTCCCGAGGGGTCACTTCTGGGTCCTCTCCCCCTTCTGTTACTGTCCCTGAAACCCTGTCCTGTGCTCCCTTTGTACAAAATCAGTCGCAGGGTTCGGTCCCCGGTCCTCGCTGCTGTTATAAACCCGAAATGCCAAGTCCACTGCCTGGGACGGACTCATCTGTGACGCCGTCCACGTTTGCTAACTTCCTCCTTGTCCAGGGCGCTGTGTGTAATGACCGCCATAGTGACCAGACGAGTATTTCCTGGGGCATCTGGGTTTATATCCGTGTGGGCGGTTATATGTCTGGGTCCTCATTAGCGCCTCTTCGAGTTGTAAGATGTTACTGAAATTTTTTTGTTTGGGGATCCCTGCTGCAGCCCTACCAGTAAACAGGTTTTGTAGAGCTCTAACGGCGCCGTTCCCCCAATGCTGGGTCCCAGTCGGGGTCTGCCACCGGGACACCCATCTCTGGCGCTGGGGAGTCTCCTCCAGCCTCCTCCCTGGCTTTCCTGAGTACCATTCTCTGCTCGTCCAGAGTCAGCAACGTTTGGAGCATGGACTATGGGCGGTGGGAGAGGAAGATAGGCAAACAAGTTCGCCATCCTCTTACGGAGCCTGCCGGTCCGAGGGGAGAGGGCTCCTCCCACACAGGAGGGCCGCGGGGATGGTGCGACCAAAAGCACCCACAGGTCACCCATGTTCATACAAGCCCCCCATCGGCATCTGGCATGTGCCGGAGGGGAAACCGTCCTGCCTCAGGGCGCCCCTTCCTGCCAGAGTGGGCGCTGTGCCTAGTGGGGCGGGGAGACGTCATGTGAGTTTCCTCCCCGGGGCGTGTGGGGGGCTGTGGAGCCTCAGGAGTCTGCGCGGGAGGGGCCTCGTCACACTGAGGGTCCTGTCCTGATGAGTTTAAGGTGTTTTGTTTTCCCCCTCACACTCTTAATCACTCAGTTAAGAGCCTGACTTTGTTGTTGCGTATTCTCAATAGGCGAAGTAGAACTTGTGCTCTCACAGAGCCGACAGTGTGGAGTGGCGCTTACGCACACTACCAAAAATCCACGCAGAAGCTCACATTGTACAGCAGGGATGGCTTGTGCACCACCCACGTGTGTGTACAAGAAGTAAAATCATGGGCCATAAACCAGGTTTTAACCAATTATTTACATTTACATTTTATCCAATTATTTACATTATTTACATTTTTTAATATTTAATGGAAAAAGGCTGCTTAACAAGGCCAGAAAAAAACTGAAAGCACTCAAGCTAGGGATAAAGCTGTGTGAGCTCATGGTCGAGGCCACGTTTGGGTCAAAAACACGCCCACAAAAGAGAGCTGTACGCAAGGGGGAAAAAGCAGGCTTTTCAAGACCCGAGACGAAGCTGCCAGCAGGCGTCCTGCAGACCTAGTGCGCGCCCAGTGACCAGCGCAAGGAAAGTTGCTTTGGGCTGGTCAGCCACGTTGTAAAAGAGATAAGAATTAGGTTTCTCACCCTAAGGATCAAAAAGTTACCTGAAAGCGCAGTGGTTTTAGATGAAAGGATTTTAATTAACAAAATTTCATTGCTGAGACTTAGTAAAACCTCAGTTTTATAAGAAATTTGGCCACCATTTGATACCCAACAATGTAACTAGCAGGCGCACATGCTTTGAATTATATTATTAGATTTGAACTAGTACTTGTTTACCTAAACTCTTGGATCGTGATCTCAAATTTGGTTTTCATTAGACTTTATATAGGCGCCGTTTATAATTAACTCTCCAGAGGTAAAAAAAAAAAAAAAAAAAAAACACGGACAGGCACAGAGGACTTTTGATTGTTACTTAAAATTTTGGCCATGTGTACTAATTTTAAAAAAAAGTCATTTTAGCAGTATTTGCGAAGAGTCTAAGAAGCCTGTTAATTGATTCAATTTTAGTTCTTTTGGCAACTCCTTTTGATCAAACACATCCTAAATTTGTATTTTTAAGAGTGACTCTGGCTTTAAAGAAGTTGTGCACAGAGAATTTACGTTAATTTTTTTAAGACCAGAAAAAATTTCCTTTTAAATTGTAAAAGAGGCTTTGTAAGACACCTCAAATAACCTAGTTTTTGAAATATCTTAGATTTCAGTTTATTTGATACTCTCATTTACCAAGATTTTTTTAATATACTTTCATATCGAGGTTTTTAATGAGATAGAAGCTAAGATCTTTACATAAAGTGTCTAATCTTAATCATTACTAAAGACCTAGGGCTAAAACCACAACAGTTTTAAAGTCAAGCAGTTTTTACTGAGTTTCATAGATAAAACATTTTTGAGCTTATATTTCTTTTTTTTTTTTTAAAGATTTATTTATTTATACAAGCACTGGGTACAGTCAGAAGCACAGGAGGGTGAGAGAATTCACCAGAGCCAGAGCGGGGAGCAGAGCAGGCAGAAGGACCGAAGGACACTGCTGGGGGGAGCAGCGGGCGGCAGGAGAGGTCTGCGCGCCATGTGGGACCCTCGCCGCCCACGGCCGTGGATCAAACTGGTGCTGCAGAGGCTGCGGGCTGCTTCGCAGCCCAGTGCTCAACCGCTGCGCCACCAGGGGAGGCCCTCTACCTAGAAACTTCTTCACACAATTAACTTCATAGATCATAAAAAAACTTTTCTAAGAAACTTCTGAAAAAAGCTAAAGGAGGAATTACTCTAATTGTTGTCTGGATTGCTTGTCAGGCATGTTCATGTATAACAAATTATTTCCCTTTGTCAGGCAGGCCAAATTTACAGTGTTTAATTTTTTAGCAGGTATTTTTTTGTGCCATTTACTTGCATTACTCTATACGTATAATTTATTGCCCAATGTACTTTCCGAGAAGTTTTTTCTTATATGACCAAGAACAAAAAACAAGGGGATGTTTGTGGGTTGCAGATTAGTCTTCAGCCCCACGGTGTGAGGCCCTTTTGTTTACCAGCATCTTAACTGGTTGGGGCAGCAAGGCCCCACTCAGTAAGTTCCATGATTTAGAGTGAGAGATGGTGTTGTGTGCGGCTAGGCCTAAACCTGCTGGGCGCGGTGGACCCGCACGGGGGTTGGGGCGGGGAGCAGCGACCAAAACATAATTACTTGGATAAGCCACGCAGTAAAGGCGCCCACTCTGGCCCCCCCACCCCCACCCCACCAGCCCCCCGTGCCTCCAGAGCGCCATTGTCACTGCTCAGGTTCTCAGAGGCCGGCACCTTGGACCTGGCCGCTGTACAAGCCAGATCTCCAGAGGTGCAAAGCCCACGGCCAAACCCGAGGGTCCCCCAGCAACAGTGGCAGCGAGGCCCGCCCACACCCAGCAGCTTCGTGCAGGAAAACACTGCAGGACAGGTCACCTGAACCCC